TGTATAGCAGCTGGTCATTTCACTGTTGGGTTGATTTGCGTATTAGCCTTTTATTATATAGGATACTACACAGTCTACCAATTTAAAGTGTAATATTTGGTCTGGCAGGTGTAGCTTAATGGTTGAGCATCAACCTATGAACCAGGAGGTCATAGTTTGATTTCTGGTCAGGATGCATTCATGGGTTGCAGGCTTTATCCCCGGTTGGGGTGTGCAGGAGGCAGCCAATTCTCTCTCATCATTGATGTTTCTATCTCTTTATCCCTCTCCCTTCCTCTCTGAAATCAATAAAAATATATTTAAAGTATAATATTTGATGATTTTTAATATATTCACAGATTTGTACAACCTACAATTAATTTTAAAACATTTGCATTACTCCTAAAAGAAAACCCATACTGGGTAACCTCAAACTCTTGATCCCTACCTAATCTATTCATTTGGTCTATTTTCTATCTCTGTAGATTTGCTAATTCTGGACATTTCATATATATAGAATCATGCAATATGTGGTCTTTTGTGTTTGATGTGTTTTACTTAGTATGTTTTCAAGATTCATCCATGACATAGATATATCAGTGCTTCATTTAATGGTTTCATAATATTTCATTGTGTGGATATATCACATTCATCAGTTGGTGGATGTTTGGGTTGTTTCTGCTTTTTTGTCCCCTAGCTCTTTTTTTTTTTTTTTTTGTTAATCCTCACTTGAGGATATTTTTCCATTGATTTTTAGAGAGAATAGAAGGGAGGAGGAGAGGCAGAGAGAAAGAAACATCGATGTGAAAGAGATACATCGATTCGTTGCCTCCTGTACATGCCTCAACCAGGGCAGGGGATCAAGCCTGCAACCCAGGTACATGCCCTTGACCAGGATCAAACCTGGGACCTTCAGTCCGTGAGCCAGTGCTCTGTCCACTAAGCCAAACTGGCCACGGCTGGTCTCCTAGCTCTTTTAAGTCTCAGTCTAATTGAGAAATAGACATTTGGAGATTAAAATATTAGCTTTATCAATGATGAAGATGATTACAGCATAGAGCTTAGCTCTCTAATTATCTACGCTGTAGCTCTTCTTTCCACTCCCTCTCCCAACTTCTCAACACACAGGGTAGAGTCTGCTCCAATCACTTTATTTCAGTGATGAGCAGAGATGATGCTCTGGGAACAGGCTTTTAGTAGGAGAGAGAAACCAGAAGGGACCAAGTCTTGTACTTTTTCCACTTCAGAAAGGGGAAAGTCCCTGCTTTAGGCGCCAGTATAGGCTGGATACTGGGAGGGAGATGGAATGATTTCTTCTAACACTAAGAAGACTGATATTTTAGCCTGGCCAGTGTGGCTCAGTGGTTGAGCACTGACCTATGGACCAGGAGGTCACTATTCAAATCCCAGTTGTAGCACATCCCCGGGCTGAATCCCCAGAGGGTGTGCAGGAGGCAGCTGATCAATGATTCTCTCTCATTATTGATGTTTCTATCTTGTTCTTCCTCTCCCTTCTTCAATAAAAGTATATATTTTTTTTTTAAAAAAAGAAGACTGGTATTTTAGTTCTCTCTCATAAGTTAAAGCAAATCATGTTTTCTTTGATTATGAATTATGAAAAGTTTCTTCAAATCAAACATGTAAACAGTTGAACAGTGTAAATGATGGCACTTATTAATTGTAATATATAGCTTGTTGTCCCATAATTTACAGGTTCCTTCACCAACTAAAGGAAGATAATTCTGAGATAATTAGTAAACTGTGGACTGATATTCAGCAGAAAATAGCAACACAGTCACAAATAACAAGCCCTCTAGGGACTCCATCATCCACCTCTCCATCAGAGGAAAAAAAAGGTTTGTTTTCACATTATATTATTTCTTACAGATAATAGCTTGCTATATTTTTTTTCTTTCTTGAATACAGTAATCTTTAAAGAAGTTATTTGAGTTTTGACTGTCTTAGCCTAATTGAGTAAAATACTGATTGACCTGTGAATTGAAACGCTTTAATCATTTTTTTTCACCTGAGATGCTTTTGGAAATACCTTTTGTTTTAGCTGCTCTGAATGCGACCAATGCTGTCAAGAGAGTCCACACCAGGCTTCAGCCTGAAGAATCTTCTGAGTCTCTAGACTCCAGCTACGTTGTGGGACAAGTGCTGAACTCCAGGAAGCAAAAGCAGCTGTTAAATAAAGGTTCTGTCCCTTAATTCACAAAGATGAATTATTAGACATGTAACTTGACATGGCCATCTTAATGTCTTAATGAATGCTTTTCCTTTCAATCATCCAGTTGGATCTAGCTAAGTATGAATTTATTGAGTCGTAGCTAAGGAATTCCTCCTTTTGTCCCATGTAGCCTTGTAGAATGCTGGTTCTGTACATTCCTTATAGATTGTGTAAACCCGGTTTAATCAGAATAGATTTTTGTGATAAAATTGTGGTAACTTCTATAAAAATGTTTTATAAATTGTGAACAACAGCCCAAGGTTTTTCTAGTAGTTTTCTGGTGTAATTTTTCCTGATCTTAAAATAGAATGATTTCTGTCATTTATCAGTGAAAAGAAAACCGGAGTTGTGTGCCCCTTCCAAGCAGAAGGGAAACATGCTGTCATCTAGCACAGCCTCCACAGACTTATCAAGTAGCACCAATCCCAGCCTGGATGTCCTCAAGCACATGATACATGAAGTGGAACACGAAATGGAAGAGTATGAGCGGTCGACTGGACGCGAAGTCAAGGAACCTCAGAGCAGCCAGGGTCTTACAGGCTTCACCCTGTCACTGGTGAGCTCCCTCTGTCGCCTGGTTCGGTACCTTAAAGAGGTAAGCACGTGAGGTTAGTAGGGTCTCCTCTTCAGAGTGATGGTGGAAAGGTGTAGGGTTTTTTCTCTACATCTAATTGTTTGCAACTTCCAAGTAAAGTATAATCACGTTTGAATAGCTTTGTTTAAAATGCCTCAGTTTTAGGTTATGTGCAGTGGAAGTTTATCCTCTTCATTTTCCTCTATAAGCTGATTCGTGCATCAGCTGTCATGTAGGTACATGCTCAGGTAAGTGATGCTGATTTTAATATGAGCCTTAGTGAACTGTAATTAGGAAAGTAAATCTGCTATAAGTAAAATATCTTGTGCTAATATGGACTAATATTATTTGGCAGTTATAGATTAAATAGAGCTATTAATGTGTCCTCATTCTGCTGCTTTCCTCTGCTTCCTGCTCCCTTTTAGTTCAGTTTGGAGAATAGCATGCCTGTTATCTGTAGACACAGATTAAGGAAATCCCTTATGTTATCTCATGACTGGTAACTTGGGCTTTCCTTCAGTATCTTAGTGGCAGATATTTTATTGTGGTGAAATCATTTATAAGACAAGCAAGAATTGTTTCTTTAATTCATTTGTGAATAATAATCCTCAGAATGCTGTGGAATTAAAGTTAGCTTATGTAGTTCATCTTTTAAAAAATCTATTCAAACTATTTTTATGTGTTTAAATTTGTTAAACATAAAATATGACAAATATTTGAGGAAATGTTATTATTTAAAAATTTGATTCACCTCTGTAACTCAGAGGTTTCAATTCAGAGGTCTTCAGAAAATTGCTTTTTAGTGAAAGATTTATTATGGTGTCTGAGTCAGGAGAGTCTTAACATTCTTCCACCCTCAAGTCAGGGATCTCCAGGAGTGTACTTTTGGCTCCGAAAGTATTACAGGCTTAGAAGCAAGTACTTTTTAGTTAATCACTTGCTTTACAAAGCTCAACCACTTAAACCTGTTGTCATTTATTTTAAATGAGAGGCCTGGTGCACAAATTTGTGCACGGGTGGTCCTTCACGGTGGCCTGTGGGGATTGGGCCCCAGCTCATGCCCCCAGGCTCACAGCCCCAGCTCGCACCCACAACCTTGCAGCCCCACAGCCCTGCTTGGCACACCGCCATGGCCTGGCCCTCCCCCCGCCCCGCCACCTGCTCCACTACCTGTTTGCGGGGCAGTTGGTTAGGGCCGGGTCCCCTGCCCGGCTCCCTCAGTACCTGGGAGCCAGGCAGCAGCCCTGCCTCCTGCTGCTGCCACTGGTCGCTGTCTGTGGGGTGATCGGGACCCCCGCTCGCACCTGCCTTGGCCTGGTGCCTCCCACTCACCTGCTCCACCATCCCGCTGCAGTCCCGCTCTCGTTGGGGCACATTAGGGCCAGCAGCACCTCCACTGCCACCTGCTGCCAGCGCCGTGTTGCTGACGCCCGCCACGTTCCACGCCGCTCCCTGGGGGTCAGCGCACATCATAGCGAGTGGTTGAACTCCTGGTCGAGCAATTTGCATATTAGGCTTTTATTATATAGGAGGATTATATTTTAACATTTAATTTTCAAATTGGTGATCTATTCACATGGTGTGAAATTCAGAGACACGGAAGAGTATGTGATGAAAAATCTAATTCCCACCCCTAACTTCCATTTAACCAGTTTTGCTTCTGTGTAGCCAACTATTACCAGACACCAGTATATCCTTCCAGAGATGGTCGATGTGTATTCAAGCAATATGTATATGTACTTCCCTCCACTTCCTTCTACAAAATTTTAGTTATTCAATTCTATATACCAGCCTGTTTATTGTGTTCTATTTGAAGAAGGGGAGAGGATAAAGCTGTATATTTTAATGAAATATATACCTTTTAATAAAAATATTTAACTCTCATTATTGTCACATAATATATACTTTGTAAGTATTTTCTTTTTTGACAACTTTGAGTAGAAACTTTTAGTTTTCAACAAGTGATGCTATTGATGGGAGTTTATTTGATTTTTTTTTAGAGTGAGCTTCAACTGCGTAAAGAAGAAGAGACAAGGCAGAAACTGGAGCAGGCATTAGGTGATCATCGAGAGCTCATTGATGCTCTGACAGCTGAAATTCTACTTCTTAGAGAAGAAAATACTGCTACCCAGGTACTTAGATGAGATCCCAAAATGTTCTGTGTTTACTAGTATAAAACATCTTTAAGGCTGTCTGAGATTCCTTCTAGTTGCCTTTGGTTTAGTTGTGCTGATGTATTACTTGTACGTCTTTATTATCATCAATGTTAGTTTTTATTGAACATCTATTATATTGGAGGTACTATATAGAAATTTGGACTATAAGTAGTATATAGAATAAGTCAACTATCTTCAAGAAACTTACTAAATAGTGGGAAGACAGAATCTATCTTTAAGTGATAACTACCAATATTATAGTAGTTTATTAAAAATGTTTAATGAGTGTTATGATAGCTACTGTTAATTTCAGAACAGTAGAAGACACTATTTGAAGAATCCTTCTGCAGTTGTATGTCATTGAGTTGTTTATAGTAAATTCATATTTTTTAGATATGGCTAATCATTCCTTTTTAATACTGTATAAGTATTTCTTCTAGAAAACCTTCTTGCCTCCATGCTGCATTAAATATTCTTCCTTTGTGCACTTTTGATATTCTCTGGATATTGCTCTCATTGTATTTACCAAATTGTGTTACACATACATGGGTACCTGTCATCAAAACTGTGAGCTGCTTGAGGACAGAGACATTTTTGTTCATCTGTTTGTTCTCAAATGGTGGTTATTACAACTTTATTTATCAGCCAAAAGAGAATAGAAAAGCATTAGTTGGTAGACAAGTTGCATTTGTATAAATGGACAGTAGATATCAATCATGAAATTTTTTTAAATGATGTATATAGTTCACATGCCATTTAATTCTTCCTTTTAAAGTCTACAATTCAGTGGGTTTTAGTATATTCACCAACACCATTACCTAATTTCAGAACATATGTGTCACCCCAAAGAGAAACCCATCAGCCGCCCTCTCTTCTCTCCTCCATCCAGCCCTGGGCAACTACAAATCTACTTTATGTTTCTATAGATTTGTCTAATTGGGATATTACATATAAATAGAATCATGCAATATGTGGTCTTTTGTGTCTGACTTCTTTCACTTAGCACAATGTTTTCAAGGTTCATCTATGTTGTAGCATGTATTAGCATTTCATTTCTTTTTATCTTGAGTGAACATAAGGTTTTCAATTCTGGGAAGATGGGCAGTTTTATAATGTACTAATTTGCTCAACAAATTTTTATTGAGCACCTATTCTGGGCTTGGCACTTTTTTAGGTACAAGAAATATAGTAGTGAACAAAAAAAAATCTTTGCCCTCGTAGAGCGTATGTTCTAAATAAGTCTTAAAAAGAAGAAAAAGTAAAGTATATTATAAGTTAAATGGTGATGGTGATATCCTATATAATAAAAGGGTAATATGCAAATTGACCCTAAAGGCAGAACAACCCATTGCCTGATGGCCACCCGCTGTGGGGGCAGGGCTGGTGAGTGGACGGGAACAGCTGGCCTCTTGGTCCCTTCCCCCAGCTGTCAGGCACCAATCACCTGGTGGCAAACGGAACTGGGGGTGGGTGGCAGCAGGTGGCGGGGCCGGCTACGGGCAGCTGGGGAAGATGGCCCTGATCATAGGCCAGGCCTAGGGACCATATCCACGCATGAATTTCGTGCACTGGGCCTCTAGTGTACTATAAAGAAAAATAAAGCAGGTAAGAGGCACAGGACGTGCCTCTGATGGGAAGTTGTAAATGGGATGGTCCATGCCTTCCTGAGGAGGTGACATTTGAGCAAAAGCCTGAAGGAGGTGAGGGAGCGAGCATGCAGATAGCTGAGAGATGAGCCATTGAACTGAGTAACAACTGCAAAGGCCTTGAGGTGGGAGGGTGGCTATTGAGCTCAGAAACATTAAGGAGACCAGTGTGGTAGGAGTAGAATGTGGGAAAGAGAGTAGTAGCAGACAAGAGCAGATAAGCCTGATCATGTGGGGCTGTTATACTGAGTGAGATGGGAGACCACTGAAGGGTTTTGAGTAGAGAAGAGACATGATCTTTTGTCAGTTTTAAGGGGATCAGTTTGGGCTAGTATGTTGGCTCTAGGACAGAGAATACTGCTCTTTCTTAGTTTATGGTGCCCTTAGTATCTTAAGACACCCCTAGGCCAAAAGAAATACCTAACACTTTCATTTATTAAATAGTTAGGTTCAAATGACTTATGAAGTATTTGTCTTAACTTATGTGCTATTTGAAAAAAATGATGCATGTAAATTGATAGAAAAAGTCATATTTTTATTTGTGATGAAATAACCACAATTATTTACTATTGGAATATGTATACCTAGTGGGCATTGCACAGCTTCTGAAAGCTTGGAATGATATTGGACACCATCACTCTTATTTCCTGTTCCACAATAATTTTTATGCAGCATTGCTTTTTAGCATAGCAACTACTAAAATCCAGCCTTGTGAATATATGGCATAATCAAAAGGAACATATCTTGGTCTAATGTGAACTGCCTCAAGCTAGTAGTTCACTGGTACCTCACAGAACATTTGTGTTTCCCTTAAAAATATGAAATGTCCTGTGGGGCCCCTAAGAGTTCACTGTGTTGCCCCAAGGTGCCTCAGCCTTGTTTGGGAATAGTATAGGACTGTACTCTAGGTGGTTAAACACTGAAGCAATGTATTACAGACAGGAGTTATTGGGAAAATTCAGGTGAGATAGGACAGCGTGGTCTAGGTTGGAAGTGGAAAAAGTTGTGAAAAGTGGCCAAATTCTGAATATATTTTGAAGGTAATCAGTAGGATTTGCTGATGGCTTGGATATGGGGTAAAGGAGAAGATGTAAGAGAAGAGTTCAAGGTGATTCAAAGTTTTGGCCTGGGCAGTCAGAAGGGTGGAGCTGTTATTGATGAGTCAGGGTGGGTCACAAGGAGTTTGGTTTTGTGCATGGTAAGTTCTAGAAGCCTCTGTCAGTTCTAGATGGAGATGTTGAGTAGGCCATTGGATATATGAGTGTGGAATTTGGGCGCTGCCATCTTGTGGCTGTGGGCACCGCCATCTTTGAGGGTGTAGCAGTCAATTAGCATATTCCCTCCTTATTGGCTGTGGGCGCCGCCATCTTTGTGACGATGTGAGGGTCAGTTATCATATTCCCTCGTTATTAGATAGGATATGACCATAAATGTTTATAGTGCTCATGTTTATCACTTTAAAAGCCTGTGTTATATTCTGTTTAGTTTCCTGCATCTGATATAACTGTCTCTTGGGGTAGTTTGAGTCAATATCATCTATATAAAAGGTTTTGTAAGTTGAAAGCCTTATAAAAAGGTTAATTCTTATTGTTGTAGCATGTATTTATTAATTAATAATATTCCATAGTTTAACATTTCCTCTATCATGAGACTTTTAAAATATTTATAATTATGTATTCTTATGAATGTATTATTTTAGTATTTGAATGAAAGTCAGAAGTTCCTAGAGTATTTAAAATAATGATATAGTTATACAAATCTAGGTGATGATTTGATGTCTGACATGCCAACAATGTTATTTCATTCTTTTTTTGCTAGGCGAGACTTCAGCAGTATATGGTCACAACAGATGAGCAGCTTATATCGATCACACATGCCATTAAGAGCTGTCCAGTGATAAATAACAACCAAGCAAGTCTGGCAGCAGAAAAGGGAGCCACGAGTAGTAAAATTATGGACAATCCAGGTGAGTGGGTCTTATTATTCCAGATTGGCATTAAAATATTTATAGAGTAAACAAATGAACGAAACCAGAAACTTATATGGGGTTATTGCATATATAACATTGTCACCACTATAATTGCTGCTAATATTTATTGGATACCTGTTCTATGCCAGATACTTTTAAAGTGTTTTACATGTATTATTTCATTTAATCCTCATAATAGTCTTATGAGGTAGATGTTACTGTCCCCATTTTTTAGATGAGAAAACTAAGGCTTAGCGAGGGTTGGCAACTTAGCAAAGTCACACAAATAAAGAGTAGCAGAACTAGCTTCCTAGATCATGAGAAGGACTTAATGCCAGTACTTTTAATCATGGTGCCTCAGGCTCAGGTGGAGAAGAAATGGTCTTGGGAAGAAAACAGAAAACACTGAACTTTAGAAATTCATAACTTTTGTTTATTGGGTAATGGTTTGAAAACCTTTTTCACCTCATGTGCCATCGGTTGAATAGAACATTTAGGCTTTTTCATGTTTTTTACTTCTAAGTAATACGTTGATGAGTATCTCTGTGTGGAAAGTGTTTATGCATTTCAGAGTGTTTCCTAGGGAGAGATTCTAAGAAGTGGCTGACTAAAATTTAATATGCATGAGATAAACTCCATGGCTAGATCAGGTCCTAAGGGCTTGAGGTCCTCCGTACTTTTCTCAAAAACAGCCACTTCTTCCCAGTGCTGGCCCCGTAGGAACCTACCCTGGGAGTTCCTGCTAAAGGAGGGTATGGCCTAAAAAGTAAAGGCTCTCGAGGCCGCCTGATTTTGCCCTCTATGGAAATGCTTTGAAGTAGACATACCTAAATGTGCCAGCGTTCCTTGACGTACTAATAGCCTCTCATCTTCTTCAGAGGCTTCAGTTGTAAATGCTAATGTCTCCATGCCATTGATGTTTCGAGGGGAAGAAGTGCGTGAATTCCCACAGGAAGACTTGCCTGTTAAACTATCTCAAGTGCCAAACCCTCCAGATAGTGTGAATGTAGCCAACAATTTTCCAGCACACATATTTGAGCCGGCTGTGTTGTTAACACCACCCCGGCAGAAGAGCAACTCAGAATTCTCTCCTCTGCAGGATGGTAAGCAGGCTTCTTCTAAAATTACATGGTGGTTGTTTTTTATGCTTCATATATGTAATCCATGTGTGCATCATTACCTGATAAACAGAATTAAAAAGATACTGATTACCATACATAACCTTTAAGCCGAAGGAGGATGGGGTGGTTTACATCATGTATGCTATGCTTATGGTGAAATGTGACATTGAGTTTCATTACATACATTTTCCATTAGGCATTATAAATGTTAAGCTCAAATCAAGGGATCAAAGCCCTCTGAATTAAAACATGGAGTGAGGGGAATCCCATTTGTCCCTACGGTCCAGGGCATGGGGAAGAGTAAGAAACAAGAGGAGACTATTCTCTAAAGAGTAATGAATGTTTAACCAAGGAAAGGTGAGAGCCACGACCTGAGAGATTTTATAAGTCAGATCTAGTTATTAACCTCTTTCTCATCAAAACTTTAGCTCAGTCAGTTAAGGGAAATAGGTAATGAAAGTCTGTGGACAATTAAAAATTGCTTTAGAGTCACTTTTGCAGCACATATATAGAGTTGAAATAAAATTTCTAAAAAATAATTGTTAATACTTAGCTCATAGATTTTTACAAAATCACAAATAGGATTTTTATTTGTCACCATTAAAAGTCTGAATTTTAAGCAGATTCTTGGACTAGGGGCTCATATCCATCAGTTTATTCAGCTTTAGCACCTGTCTCCTCCCAGTGGTTTTTCCGGAACTGCTTCCTTCACCGTGAAGCTCCATGAGTTTTCCCAACTCTAACTTGGGCTTCTTCCGCATTTGACTTCCTAACAAAGACATCGTGGAGTGAATAAATATGTGTTTTCCAATGCTATCTGGAATCATTTTATTGACCACTTCTTTCAAGTTATTTGCACTCTCGGGTCTTGATGTCTATCATCTTCGTCCAGATTTGGCAGACTTATTGATACTGAGCAAGGGTCTTCTGAATCTGACTTTTGCATTTTCTAGTAAAACCAACACAGACTAGATGAAGCAAATAACCATTGGTAGTCTTGACATCAACATGAGCTTTAATCACGGTCTGCCATTTTTTTTTTTTTTTCTTTACCAGGAAGCACATTTTGTCATGGGTAAGATCCATGCTATGGAAATTAGTCAGGCAGTTTTGCCCTGAACATCCTCAGTAATTAGCTTGGATTTTCTAAATGCCACTTCATCATTTTGCAGATAGCTAGGCTTGCTTCAAAAACACGACCCTGAGACCATCAGATGCGATTTTGGTTCCTTGAGCTCTCGCGACTAGTGTTTTTCTAGTATTTCTTATATTGAACAGAGCTGGTCCTTTCACATCACACCAATCTTTCTGGGATCACCCACTTTCTTCTTGGCTGCCTTTTTGTCGCCTTTCAGAAGGTGCTGTTCAGAGAACCAAAAGGGGGCCCTTGGCTCACAGATTCTTAACTTGGATTTCATGCGTGGTCTTCAGAATCTCCATGGATTGCTTCATTGTTTGGAAAATTATATTTATTTGTCCACATGTGCATTTTCTGGAGCTATAAAAATCATTTCATTTTCCAAAGAGTTCTTCAATCAAAAACTACTTTAGACTTTCAGGCAAAGTTTTTAGAAAAATGTTATTTAGCCCTGATTTGACTAAATTTTTGTTTCTTTAATTAGAGTATGTATTTTCTTCTGTAGGAGGGAGGACAGAAGAATAACATTTATTGTCTTTGAGACATATAAATTTTGTCAGATTTTCTGTACTTTGATGTATGTTCCCAATAGAGGATTTGAAAAGCCCATAAGGGTTAAAGAAAATGGCAAATCTTTGCCATTATAAGATTTGTTTGACTAGCTGTGAGGTATAGGGCTAATACTTTTTATACCTTTTCTGGACTTCAGTTTTCCTATCTTTGCAGTGAGAGGATTTTCCTTTATCTTTAATATCCCTTCAGCTCTATAATTCTTTGATTCGATATTTCCTCTTTAGAGGGCTACAGAATATTATTAACTGGCTAACTTTAGGAAATATGATATCAAATCTGATTTCTGTTCAAGTTAGACTTTCATTTTTTAAAGTAATTTTTCACATGTTTGCATTGTATTAAAAGGCTTATCTAATGATCTCTTTTGAGATACTGTAAATTGTTTTTCATTGGCAATACTAAAATATCCTAATATTTTTTAAAGAAACAATTACTATAAATATTTTTACTCTGATTGCAAATAAACAAAATGTTCATTAAGGCAAATTATATTGATATAGACAACATTTTGTTAGTATTTGCAGTGGGTTTTGTGTGGAAAATAACATGGCACATTCCTTTTGCAGTGTGTAGATAGAACTATCCTTGAATCTGTATTCTGAAATGGTAGAGTTTTATTATCATATTTTCAGCATTTTGTTCAGAATGCTTACATATAGAGAACTTTTTAGTTAAATTGAACATATGGATAAAAATGGGAGATACATAAGGCCCTTAATCAGGGCTCAGCTCTCTGTCCAGTAGGACTTTCTGTGATGATGAAAATGTTCTGTATCTGCTCCATTCAGTATGGTAGCTACTAGCCAAGGGTGGGGCTGTTGAGCACCTGAAATGTTCCAGTGACTGAGGAACGGAATATTTTATTTTAGTTAATTTAAATTTGAATATGAATAGCCACATGTGGCCAGAGGCTACCATACTGGAGAATGTTGCTTTAGAATTTTCCATCATAAATATTTCCCTTAGCTATTAACTTATCTCTATTTTTGTTTAATGCCACGCTTGAAAGACTAGTATAAATATATATACTGTTTTCATTTTCTTATATTCCATTCCTTCTTTATTTTAAAGTGTTAGTTCTAATTCCTATTTGCATGTGGCCAAGGAATAAAAAGCATATACAGGGATCTCTTCCTCACATACCTCTTGACCTACCCAAGGAGCAATCATTTTTATCCCAATTTAATTTCTGTTTATCTGGAGGGGCTCTCCATAATTAATATAAGACATTTTTACATCTCTGGCTGCTTCATTTCTATCTGCTTTGCTTGCTTTCTATCCTTTACCTGACTCTAAATGTTAAGTTCTTCATGTCTTGGTATTGTTTTTTCCCTCACTCTATTCTTTCTCTCTGTGTAATCTCACTCATTCTCATGGCTTCCAGTATTTTCTGTCTGCCAGAGAATTCCAGTTTTGAACATAATGCACCTTAAACTTACACGTTCAGAACTGAGTTTTTGATACTCAACCTTCCCCCAAATCTGTTCTTCTTATCTTCTCCATCTCAGTGCATGGCATCAACTTCTATTCAGTTGTGCATGCCATGATCTTACTCCCCATTTCCAGTTCATCATTTCAATTCTATTGCCAAAATACTTCCCAAGTTTTCTACTTCTCTCTTTCTTTATACCAACATACCTTAGTCAAAGCTACCATTGTCTGTCTTCTAGATTACCACAGTTGCTTATTGATTTCTTCAATCCTGGATCTTCCAGTTATCCACAACATTTAAGAAATGTAAATTGAGTCATTGCCAAATCTTCTGCAGTCTATTGTTCTTGGATTAAATTGGAAAATTCCAAACGTGGCTTAAAGAGCTCTGCAAGAAATGTCCCTGCACACCTCTCCGGTCTCATCCGTTTCCAGTTCCTCTCGTTGCTATGCTACAGCTAGCCTGGCCTCCTTTCTTCGCTCTTTCCTATTTTGAGGCTTTCACATCTGTTGTTCCCTGCCTGTAATGTTATTTGCTCTACTTCTGCCACATATGTAATTATTTAAAATTTTTACTTCTTCAGAGATGCCTTTCCTGACCATCCTCAGTTTATATTATTATCTTTATTGTTCTCACCCACAAGATTCCCAGATGTGAGTTAATGTAATGTGAAAATGTGGACTTGGCAGGTGGTTTTTCACAAGCATACTGATTAAGCTTTAAGGTATATCAAAGCTTAATTTCTAATTTAGCTACTAATTTATTTCTGTTTTGTTTAATTAACTACTCATGAGTAGATAATCAAAGTCTTCATGCTTGATTGTTAGTGGTGGCATTGCAGGTCAATTTAGACCTTCAGAAACTCCTTCTGTTGAAATACTTCTCTAACTACCGTGATGGGCTAATGAGATGATTACACCGCCAATCTATGGCTAAATAATACATATTTGTTATTTTAAAATTTTATCTACAGTATTGAGGAGGACCGTTCAAACTCGTCCTGCTCCACGAATTCCTCCAACTGTGGAAATAATTGAGAAGGAACAAAATTGGGAAAAGAAGACCTCACCGCCCAGCACAGATATTCAGAATTCAAGTGACGAGAGTCATCTCTTCACCCAGAGGTGGAGGGTCTCTCACATGGGAGAAGATTTGGAAAACAAAACCGAGGCTCCTTTTGTCAACCTCTCACAGCCCCTGTGCAATTCCCTCTCAAATACTCAGCAACCCAGAAACCCTGCATTCTCAGAAGAGCCCCCAGTACTGGGGGATGGGCAACAGCTTAGAGCAGATGAGTCATTACTACAAAGAAAAAACATCATGGCACAAATTGCTGAGTTGACACTGCAGAATTCAGCTATCAGGGCTCATCTGAATAATATTCTTTGGCCAGGGGGAGAGCAAGGGGATGGACTTCGAGAGTTAAACAAACAGGGGACAAGTCATACAAGCAACATGAGTGCTGTGAGTACCAGTTAAGGACTGACTATGGACATATAGAAATTTAGGTCCATTGCTGGAGCATCTTAAAGCGCTTCTTTCCAGGATATCTCTGAGGCTGTGCTAGATGGCTTATGCCTGGTCATGTCCTCATCACAAGAGAAGTAGAAGTTATTTGTCAGTTTCTATCTCAGATACAGTAAAAGAGGACAACATAAAATAAAAAAGAGGAATGAATGAGGAAAATAGGATGAAGGTAAAATGTAGCAAAGCTAAAATTAGGCTAGGAATGAAGTTTTAAATGTAACATGCAGAATTAATATGACTTAAAAATTTGCCACACAACTACAATTTAATTGAAAGCATTTTTACTCTTAAAGGGGCTCATAAAAAAGAACTATGTGTAGTTGGCCCTCAACTCATGAATCATTAATTTTTTAGGACACAGAATGCATTTTGCTATAGAAAGGATTTTTAAAGTCAGACTTTAATGTACATATAAATCATCTGGGATCTTGCTCAAATGCTTTTTCTGATTGAATAGGTCTGAGGTAGGCCCTGTGCATTTCTAATAAATTCCCAAATCATGCCAGTCCAAAGGCTATACTTTGAGTAGCAAAAGTCTGAATATTATAGTGCAAGAATTTTGTAAGTTAAATAAGCTGTGGGTTAACATGGTAACTTGGACCTTCATTTCCTTATTTGTGAGAGAAAAGGGATCCTAAGTACCAATTGGGGAGAGTTGATAACCTACATTCTTCCCCTGGTCCCAGGGATGGGAGAAGCTTCCTTTTACTTTATTATGAGCCAGAGAGGCTCCTGTCAGACTTCTGATAGGGACAGGACAGTGTTGGAGCAGTTGTTAGGGGCAGGCAGGCATCCTGGGTTAGGAGTTTCAGGGGTAATTGCTTCCATGAGGACTTTATCAGAAGTGAGTCATGTGCGTCCAGGAGGAAGGTCAGGAGGTGGGAGATGGTAGGTTAGGGGTACACGTCTGTCAGCACTGGCTCATGGGCAGTCAGGGTAAGATGGGTCTTGAGTGACAGAAATAGTAGTCAGAAGGGTCTGGCAGGAGAGGAGCCGGGAAGGAGTATTAGGAGTGGGCAGTAGCCTCGGCACAGGTGTGTTATAAGTATAAACTGCCTCAATTTTGAGTCATAGGAGACGTTGTTGACCGAGTTTTGAAGTTGATTGGAAATAGGCAACGTCTTAGTTTAAAAATGGCAGGAAAGTTAAAAATTGATTTTGCCTTCTTTTCTAATTAGTATATAGATCAGGCTAAGGCACCAACTGTCTTGAGTGAGATATCTTAGGCCACAAGTGGCCTGGGGAGGCTGACATATGGCCAGAAAGAATGATAAGGGTCCTAGAAATCTTTGCCAAATAATTCATGGTGCATGAATGAAGATTATAATTATAGAATCATCTCTTTCAACTACAGCAGATCCTTGTGACTCGGACCCCAGATCTGGTATTTATATGTATGTTACTCAGAAGCCAGGTCTTTAGAAGTTGTCTTTGCTCATGTGATCTTTTGTGTAGTTCAGCAAACACTAGGAGATGCAGGAAAACTTTGTCCCACAGACACTCTCCATGGGCAGAGAGACTAGAGGACATGTGGCACCAGTATTAGAAGAATTGGCATCCCTTTGTTTTAGCCCTAATTTTTCAATTAAGTGACTTGTAAATTTTATTTTTAGTTTGTTATTCAGGTCTGCACACAGCAAGGGCTATGAACACTAACTTGCTGGCTCTTAGTGGAGGTTTAGTTTTACAAACAGTCAAAATTGTTTGGATTGTTTTTAATACGGAATTTTGCCTCTTTTTTTAAAGACTTTTCCAGCAACACGGCCTCTAACACCAAATAGCATGGAGGAGCGGATTGCGGAACTGAACCGGCAGAGTATGGAGGCTCGCGGAAAGCTCTTGCAGTTAATAGAGCAGCAAAAACTTGTTGGTTTAAACCCTTCCTCTCCACCGACATCACCTATTCAGTCACCTCTCAGAGCTTGGACTGATTGGCCACAAATTCCTGATTTAAAAGGTAGACAGTTTAAAAGCTAAGTTTTTACTTTCTTGATTTTGCAAGTATATATTGAACTGAAGGAACTCTCAGAGAGCATATATTTCAGTGCCTTCAATTTTACATAGAAAAAAAAGACTAAGTCGCAGAATAAGTGACTGATAGATCTGGAAGGCCGGTCTCCTGTTGGGACATTCCCCCAAGGTGCCTGCAGGAATCTCCGGTGTCTGGGTTCCTAAGTTGCTCTACGTGGAAGTGGACTCATTACAGTCTATAATTTACTGAGCAAAATTATAATTTAGAATTTCATCAGCAAAAAATTAAGTTATCCTGTTAAAATTATGAAAACATTTTAATTGGTAAATTAAGCTTTTTAATCTATTTGTACATTTAAGATATGAAACACACTAGAGGGGATTCTAAATAATAGAGCAGTAACTGAAAAATTAGTTATTGTAGTGTTCATATGCAAAAGGAACTGATGAGATGAAGTGGATCTCAAGTTGCTCTTCAGTCAGAAATTGAATTATTAAGATTCTCAAGGGGTAGGGCTACACAAAGGCTATGAAGAGACTGATTTTTGGCTCATATGAGAGAGAGTTCTAATTGTCAGGAATAGAAAAAGCTGCATCAGTGAGTGGTGCATTCGCTCAGGTGTTCAGGCATTCGTGTGTTAGAAAGATTCGGTGTCCTCTGGCTGGTCGACGTAGGTTTCCTTTAAGGCATCTGCCAATAAGACTTTTCCTCTCAGAAGTTATTTCCTTTTTGAAACTACAGACTCAGAGAGTGGACTCTTGGAGATTACTGATGGGTAATGCGTATCCCCAGGGCCCTTCTTTAATTTAGGCTTCTTCAGTGGATAATTTTGTCTACTGTTCTTCGTAGTCTCAAAATCTAGATGCAACTCCTAATAAGAATGAATAAATTAAATCACTCAGAATGTATGAACACCTACTATGTGTCTGCTATGTTCTGGACACTGGGGATACCACATGGAAGAGGACAAGCCCTTGCCCAGATTGACAACTTCAGTAGTCAAGTTGAGGAGCAGGCCATAAACAAATAAGCAAATGAATATATGAGATAATGTCAGTTAGTGCTAAGTACAATGAAGAAAAAGCAGATTACTTTTAAGAATAATTTTGTGATTAAATAAGACATCTTCTGTTTCAATAGATTTTTAAGTGAAACTATTTTCGTTTGTTACCTCATTTTGTCCCCAACACACCATGAGAGTAGACAGAGTTGATACCATACTTGTTTGATAAATAAGTAAACTGAGGTGTAAATAGGTTATATGATTTGTCTGAAGTTCTAAAGCAAATTGGTAAATTTGCACTTGTATTCTTGCCATTTTAGTGGTTATATTCTTAAGATATTCTTTTTTTAAGTAAAATTCTTGGTTTCACAAGGAACCACTGTGGGTTGTAATTATAGAGTAAAAACTCTATGCCATAGAGCCTTTTTGTTTTCTAGGGTAACCAAGGGATGTGTAAATAGGGTATGTTTCATTACCACCTAAAGCTCAAAATCACTGGTTTTAAGTAATGATTTATGGGAGCTTTGGCAAAACTGACTGGGATGGACATAAAGTGTTCCATTAGTAAATAGTAAATATCTGTTGATTGATAACTTCCGAAATATTGAAAAGGTACATAATTATTACCATTGGCCAGGTGAGCTCTTCATCTATTTAAAAGTCTTCCGTAAGAGTAATGTAAAAGATTTAGAAGATTTAAAATTTTACTAAAAGACTTTAGATTTTTTCTTCTTTTCTTTTTATTGGGGGGAAAAACTTTAGATAAGCTGCTTTTGACAAATATCTCAAGATCTTTAGGACTAGCTCTTCACTTCCAGATCTGACATGATACCACTTGCCTGAAGGTTCTGGCTCTCTATGACTGGCATGCTACTGAATTGACACTAACACTAAAGTTATTTCTCACAGGTCATTTTAAAAAAATTCCTCCAAGTGTATCTGTGGGCCATAATGATAAAAATATAGAAAGAACCTCCAAATTTATAATATTGAAATCTGCAGTAAGACAGAAATCATTACATTTTTAATTTTTATTTTAATGAAAGGTAATGGAATAATGTTTACTTTTATATTTTAGAAGGAGGAAAGAGGACAATTGAAGTATCTGTTCCAGGAGCAGAGGCCCCAGAAACCTCGAAATGCAGTACTGTCTCTCCTATCAGTGGAATAAATTCAAGAAGGTAGGGTTACAATGGGAATAGTTACTTTAAAAAAAAATCAAGAATATGGCATCTGTTTTATTCTCTTTGTGAGAAAAGGAAGTGCATGATATCTGACTTAGGTTCAGGCAGACTCACCGATGAAAAGAAAATAAAGTAGTCGGCGAGGAGAATTTTGGGGGGGAAAGGAGAGGCATGAGGAACAAGCCTTCAATGAGTAGAAAGCATGGGTTGGCTATTGAGAAACAAAAATGGGATAACAGCACATATATAGAATGCTTAATGGGTGACAAAATTGGGAGATACTATGTGACAGGGTGGGTAAATTAACCACTGGTATTTTCCTCTCATATTAAAATAAAACTGAAGTTCATAGAGCTACCTGTGTGATTTGCCTGCATGTGCCACATGTTGATAAATGGTGACACTAGGGATGGACCTACCTGGCTTTCTGTCACCGCTGCATGCCTGCTATTGCACTGCATTCTCCAGGTCTTGTTACTCTTCCACTGCCTGGGCCTTCTTCACCCCAGCACATCCTTTTCCCCCTTAAATGTTTTAAACTTGTTAGTGTGATACTGTAATGGTGGATACATGATACTGTACATTTGTCAAAACCTATAGAATGTATAACACGATGCATGGGCCCTAACATAAACAATAGATTTAGTTAATAATAATGTATCAGTGTTACAGTTGTAACAAATGTACCACACTGGTACGAGGTATTCATAAAAGGGAAAACTGGGAGGAGGGGTTGAGGAATATATTGGAACGCTTGGATCTTTATACTAAGTCTTTCTGTAAATCTAAAATAACTCTTAAAAAAGGAAAGCCTGTTAATTTAAAAAAAGACTTAGGTTGGTGAAAATATGTTGCAAATAATTTACCTTCTTTGGATCTAAGTCAGCCATACTTTCTCAAGCTTGTGCCAGTATTGGGAATTGTCAGTCTTACATAATTTTTGAAGATTAATAATGACAGATTACTCTCTCCCTTTTATTCCTCACAAATAGATCTTCAGGGGCTACTAGTAATTCTTGTTCTCCATTAAATGCCACCTCGGGAAGTGGGCGATTCACACCTGTTAATCCAAGAGCAAAGGTATATGATAAAATGTAATTGTGAAATGTGTACTGTATAGGGGCAGGAGGGCAAGGGTGAAAGGTGGCTATTTTTAGTGATTTCCATTTGTGTATGTGTGTGTGTGTGTTTATTAATTTCAGAGAGAGGAAGGGACAGGGAGAGAGATAGAAACATCTATGAGAGAGAAACACCCCCTACTGGGGATCAAGCCCAAAATCCAGGCATGTCTCCTGACTAGGAATTGAACCAGTGACCTCCTGGTGCCTGGGTCAACGCTCAACCAACTTAGCCACAATAGCTGGACAGTAATTTCCATTCTTTATTATTATTTATGCTGTTCTAAAGATGATATAAAAATGTGAGAAGAAAAGATATATTAATTCACCTTCATTAGAAAAACAAATAAGCCATATACTACTTTTGTTTTCTAGGATAACTAAGGAATAAGAAAATTCAATAGGATTTTAACAATCTTTAAAGACTGGAAATTACTGGCTTTAGGCAGAGCTTCCCAAATAGTGTGGCAGGCCTCGAAGGTGTGCCTTGAACACCTTGTAGGTATACTGAGATACTAGTGCCCAGTCCTTGCTGTGTGTGGGTGGGGCTTGGGATAGTCAGCCCTGGGGTGGTCACTTTCCGTGTCATTTTACCCCAGTGTGCCATATCTGAGGTCCCCCGGGGTAAGAGTTATGTACAAAGAGTAAAAAAAAAAGTCTTACATAGTTTTCTTGTATTCTAATTTACTATAGGATTGTATAGAAACTATATCTTACAATATATCCAATTTTTTTGCAAAAGGCATTTCTCTGTGTTGGTAATACAGCAAAATATGGTTCCTCTGAGTGTTTGGTCATAGCAAATTGTGAGAATATCTTTCAAATCACAAACATTACATTTGCAAATTTGAGCTAACAGCTCTCTGATACAGGGGAAAATCTTTGCTGTTCTTATTACTAACTTTAGTAATTAGACCAAATAGTGAATGTTTCAATTAACTGAGTACTTGCAGCCCAAATTAATTGATAGACTCATATATCTCAATTGTCCAACACTAGATGTGTCCTTTGCTGTCTATTGTATTCTAAAAAAGCTTTAAGCTATTTTGTATAATTTGCTCTTAGTTTCTGGAATTTATTAAGATTTAATTTACAAAATCAAATGACTTATTTTTAAAAGTTATACATATGATTTGCATAAAATACTGGATTTATCTTTTTTAAAAAATTAGGTCTCGTAAATCAACAAGGATTCCAGTTGACCAGGGGATCAGTTATTTATGAGTGTCTGTTAGAAATAAAAATTGCCAGTAGCAGTTTACTTTTTAGTACCACTCAGTGGCATAGGGTAACTTTGATTCTATGTACTTGAATGGTCTCCTGTTTCTGATTACTTTCTAAAAAAATCCTTTTTGCATCTTTGTTCAACAGATTGAGAAACAAAATGAAGAAGGCTGGTTCGCTCTTTCCACCCATGTGTCATAAGTGAGGTCAAGTGTGACCGTTTGTTTTCAGTGGTACATTCTTGAGCTTCCATTCCCCTTTCCCTGCTTTCAAGTTTTTGTCCTTCTTTCAGCTAAAACCTACAAAGATCCTGTGACTTTGTACAAATAGAACAAAGAAATAAAGCAATTATTTTATTTTTGACCTTACAAATAGATTTCCAACAACTAACCAACCTGCAACCTCCTGCAAATAAAATTTCGACTATAGGGAAATTAAAGTTTCATATGCTAGTAATTTCTCAAGTACTTTAAGGTTTTCTTTCTACTTCTTCTTCTTTTTTAATCCACATTTGAGGATATTCTTTCCAGTGATTTTTTTTTTTTTTTAAGAGAATGGAAGGGAAACAGTGGAGGGGGAGAGAGAAACAAAATCACCAGAGAGACACATGGTTTGGTTGCCTCCCGCTCACGCTCTGACGGAGGGGTGGGGATCAAACCTGCAACGAAGATATGTGCCCTTGGCCAAGAATTGAGCTCGTGACCCTTTGGTCTGTGGGCTGATGCTCTAACTTAAGGTTTTTCTTGAGTAATATATTATTACCTTTATCGTATTTATTCAGTTTTTTTGTTCTAGTATATCTTAAATGTTGATCTATTTAATTTTTATTTTTACTTTCTGAAGAACTTAGTTGCTTTGCATATAACTTACAATAAAATGCCTTTGTGTGATTAAAGTCTGGCTTTCAGGAAAGTTTAGCACCCTCTTTGGTTTTTTATTTTGGGGAAGTCTCTGTAGTCTATTACTTTTCCTGCTAAGTGGAATGTGCAGCTTTCAAAAGTAGACATGGGAGTATTTGTTTATATTTGCTTCAGCAGGTAAGAGTGACTCTATGTATTGTAAAATTCCTATATAGCCTTTAAATGTGAAAGTGTCATCAATAATGCTAATGTACAAAAAATAAATAATGATCATAGAGCTCAAATCTCTAAATGCAGTAACACTGATTGATTTGTATATTTAGTGTTTGAAACAGAATTGAATACAAAATGTTGCTATCAATTTTCCCAGCCCTTAATCTACTAAGCACTCTGGGTAGGTTTTTCTTCAGGGCACCGGTTTGGCTCTCAGACATTGGTTTCTATTTTAAACTTAGTTTTTGAATTATCTTTGCCCCTTGGCTGTATAACAGGAATTTTCAACCTAAGTGAGGTGGTTATGGGATGGGGGAAGCACGTCGAGACTGTGTACTTGGGGAACGTTCTCCGGTAAATACCTTCCCTTCTCCTGCATTGCAGTCACTGTTTCAGAAAGTGTCCTATTCAGCTTTCATTTGGGCTTCATTGTTGTGGTGACCAATAATAATATTTTCTTCTGGTATCATTCATTTTATTTACATTAAGTCATCTGTATTCATTTGCATTACTGCAGATTCTTCATCCATATTGCACTTTTTGAAACTTAGTACTTAATAAACACTATCCCTGTCTGGGATGCAAACCATTTTAGTGTTATTCCTTATATTACTGAAATGCCAACTTACCTGCTTGGCTTGTGAATGCATTCTTTTTTTTTTTTTAAATCCTCAATTGAGGACATTTTTCTATTGCTTTTTAGAGAGAGTGGAAGAGAGAGGGAAAGACAGAGAGAAACATTGATGTGAGAGAAATACATCAATTAGGTGCCTCCTGCACACACCCTGCCTGACTAGGTCTTGGGCTGGGGAGGAGCCTGCAGCTGAGGTACGTGTCCTTGACCAGAATCGAATTCGGGACCCTTTGGTCCGTAGGTTCACACTCTATCCACTGAGCCAAATTGGCTAGGGGAGTGAATGCATTCTTTTGACATGCATTTTCCTTGTTCTCCAACTAGTTGGCTCTTTATTCTCCCTCCCCCTTTATATTCCTACTAGAGGCCCAGTGCACAAAAATTTGTGCACTGGAGGGGGTGGTCCTCAGCCCAGCTTGCCCCCTATCACATACTGGGAGCCCTAGGGGATGTCCTACTCCCTGCTCCCTGCTCCCCTTGGGGAGCAGGCCTAAGACACAGTCTGGCCTTCCTTTTTGGGACGTGACCAGGCTGGTCAGGGGAAGGCACCAGCCCCATCACCCCGCTGCTGCAGCCACTGCCAGTCACCGCAGCCACCAAGGTGTTTTTATCAGCACGGACTCCAGTCCCCTTACCATGAAAAAATGACAACTTTCTTTAGGCATTTTCAAGATGTGTCTTCCATAGGATATGACATTTCTTTATTATATTTTTTATTCTCAACTGTGGATATGTTTCCATTGATTTTTAGAGAATGTGGAAGAGAAAGGGAAAGACAGAGAGAAACATCAAAGTGTGAGGAACACTTTGATTGGTTGCCTCCTGCATGAGCCCTGACCTGGGCCCCGGACAGGGAGGAGCCTGCAACCTAGGTACATGCCCTTGGTCAGAATTGAACCCAGACCCAGCAGTGGGTAGGCCGGGGCATTATCCACTGAGCAAAACCAGCTAGGACAGGATATGACATTTCTTAACCCTCCAGCAGCGGACCTTCATTTTTTTCTCCAGGAGTGTGGTAAAAAACCCGAGATCACCTATTTGGATTTTTATTACCCAAGTTACTAAGAATATTACCAGTGGCATACAGGTAGCTTAGCCAATGAGCGTTCAGAAAAGGTGTTTCCTCTGTAGTTCACACCAATTGCAGGCTTGGCCCCTGCCCAGGCCTAAGGCCTCTAGCCAAGGCCTTAGGCCTGGGCAGGGAACCCCCAGCTCCCACCATCGCCGGCTCTGCCCCTGCTACCCCCAATCGCTGGCACCACCCCTGCCCAGACCTAACGCCTCTGACCGAGGTGTTAGGCCTGGGCAGGGGACCCCCAGCTGCCCACGATCGCTGACTCCGCCCCTGCCCCCAGCGATGGCTGGCTCTGCCTCTGCCCCGGCCTAATGCCTCTGGCCAAGGTGTTAGGCCTGGGCAGGGGACCCCCAACCTCCCCGCGATCTCCCGCTCGGGACCCCCAGCTGCTCACGATCGCTGACTCCGCCCCTGCTCCCAGCGATGGCTGGCTCTGCCTCTGCCCCGGCCTAATGCCTCTGGCCAAGGTGTTAAGCCTGGGCAGGGGACCCCCAGCTGCCCACGATCGCTGACTCCACCCCTGCTCCCCGCGATTGCCGGCTCCACCATTGCCCAGGCCTAATGCCTCTGGCCAAGGTGTTAAGCCTGGGCAGGGGACCCCCAGCTGCCCACGATCGCTGACTCCACCCCTGCTCCCCGCGATTGCCGGCTCCACCATTGCCCAGGCCTAATGCCTCTGGCCAAGGCATTAGGCCTGGGCAGAGGACCCCCAGCTTCCACCATCGCCGCTTCACCCATGCCCAGGCCTAATGCCGCTGGCAGAAGCATTAGGCATGGACAAGGGACCCCCAGCTCCCCCCATCGCTGACTCTGCCCCTGCTCCCAGCAATGGCTGTAGACCTGGGCAGGGGACCGCCAGCTCCCTCAATCGTTGGCTCCCTCCCTGCTCCCCGCAATCGCTGGCTCCGCCCCTGCCCAGGCCTAAGGCCTCTAGCCAAGGCCTTAGGCCTGGGCAGGGGCGGAGCCAGCGATTGCGGGGAGCAGGGAGGGAGCCAACGGTTGAGGGAGCTGGCGGTCCCCTGCCCAGGTCTAATGATTCGGCCAGAGGCGTTAGGCCTGGGCAGGGGCGGAGCCAGCGATTGCGGGGAGCAGGGAGGGAGCCAACGGTTGAGGGAGCTGGCGGTCCCCTGCCCAGGTCTAATGATTCGGCCAGAGGCGTTAGGCCTGGGCAGGGGCGGAGCCAGCGATTGCGGGGAGCAGGGAGGGAGCCAACGGTTGAGGGAGCTGGCGGTCCCCTGCCCAGGTCTAATGATTCGGCCAGAGGCGTTAGGCCTGGGCAGGGGCGGAGCCAGCGATTGCGGGGAGCAGGGAGGGAGCCAACGGTTGAGGGAGCTGGCGGTCCCCTGCCCAGGTCTAATGATTCGGCCAGAGGCGTTAGGCCTGGGCAGGGGACCCCCAGCTGCCCACGATCGCTGCATCCGCCCCTGCTCCCCGCGATTGCCGGCTCCACCATTGCCCAGGCCTAATGCCGCTGGCAGAAGCATTAGGCATGGACAAGGGACCCCCAGCTCCCCCCATCGCTGACTCTGCCCCTGCTCCCAGCAATGGCTGGTTCCACCTCTGCCCCGGCCTAATGCCTCTGGCCAAGGTGTTAAGCCTGGGCAGGGGACCCCCAGCTGCCCACGATCGCTGACTCCACCCCTGCTCCCCGCAATTGCCAGAGGCATTAGGCCTGGGTAGAGGACCCCCAGCTCCCACCATCGCCAGCTCTGCCCCTACCCAGACCTAATACCTCTGGCCAAGGCGCCCATGCCCAGGCCTAATGCCTCTGGCAATTGCGGGGAGCAGGGGTGGAGTCAGCGATCGTGGGCAGCTGGGGGTCCCCTGCCCAGGCTTAACACCTTGGCCAGAGGCATTAGGCCTGGGCATGGGCGAAGCGGCGATGGTGGAAGCTGGGGGTCCTCTGCCCAGGCCTAACACCTTGGCCAGAGGCATTAGGCCTGGGCATGGGCGAAGCGGCGATGGTGGAAGCTGGGGGTCCTCTGCCCAGGCCTAACACCTTGGCCAGAGGCATTAGGCCTGGGTAGAGGACCCCCAGCTCCCACCATCGCCAGCTCTGCCCCTACCCAGACCTAATACCTCTGGCCAAGGCATTAGTCCTAGGCAGGGGACCCCCAGCTCCCATTGTCGGCTCCGCCCCTGCTTCCCATGATCACTGGCCGGGGGCTGGCAAAGGCACCTGGTTCTCCGATCAGGGGGCAGGGCAAAGGCAGCCACCATGGCCGCCTTTGCCCTGCCCCCTGGCTCTTGGCTGCCTCCTTGGTTTCCGATCACCGGCAGCAGCAGGCGGCTTCTTTCGTCCTTCCCCTTTCGCCTCCCAGCATTGCACCTACATATGCAAATTAACTGCCATCTTTGTTGGTGGTTAACCGCCATCTTAGTTGGCAGTTAATTTGCATATCGCCCTGATTAGCCAATGGGAAGGGTAGTGAAGTTACGGTTAATTACCATGTTTGTCTATTATTAGATAGGATAAACCTCAATAGCTATGATTCTTAACTTTGGGAGCATTTTAAAAAATGCCAAATTGACATCCTCAAGGGCTTGTTGAGGCTTTGGCAGCTTTTTTTAAAGGCTCAAAGTGATTTAATGTGAAGCCAGAGTTGAGAAAGATTGCAAAAAACATTTACCACAGCTCACTGGCAAACTGTGGGACTGGCATTTAAGTATCCATCTTGTCAATGTTTGTCTTTGCTACAAACGTAGATTGAAGAAACTGCAAGAATATTAGATACAGAGAAAAGAGCCTTTTTTTCTTAGACCTTCTAAAGCAGTGCTTCTCAACTTTGGCTACCATTAGAATCATCTGGGACCTTCTAAAATTCCTAATGCCCAAGTCTCAATACATATCAAGTAAGTTAGAATCTTTGGGGGCAGGACACAAACATCAGTATTTTTTAAAACCTAAGATGATTCTAGTGTACAGCCAACTTTGGGAAACATCATTACAAATAGATTTATTATCCCCTAATCTTGAATTGGTGCATGCTTGGTTTTAATTAACAGTTCAATTTAAAATATATATATTGATTTTAGAGAGGAAGGGAGAGGGAGAAAGAGAGAGAAACATCAATGATGAGAGATAATCACTGATCAGCTGTCTCCTGATGCCCCCCCACTAGGGATTGAGCCTGCATGCCAGTGACCTCCTGGTTCATACATCGATGCTCAACCACTGAGCCATGCCTGACTGGGCTTAATTAACAGTTCAGTTGCTTAAAAGCCCTCTTTATCAGCTTTCAGAGCCAGCTGTGTCAGTGGGTCTCAAAGTCTGACCCCCAATCAACAGCATCAGCAGCAGCATCACCTGGCACATTTCTTTTACAGAGTCTTTGAATATATATTCTGAACTGTCCTTGAATATATATTCTGAAACTAGAGGCCCGGTGCACGAGATTAGTGCACTCAGAGGACGGGGGTCCCTCAGCCCGGCCTGTGCCATCTCACAGTCTGGGAGCCCTCAGGGGTTGTCTGACTGCCAGCTTAGACCTGCTTCCTGCGGGGAGCGGACCTAAACCGGCAGTCGGGCATCCTTTGTGCTGCCGCAGAGGCGGGAGAGGCTTCTGCCACCATTGTGATCTCCAGCCATGAGCCTGGCTTCTGGCTGAGTGGCGCTCCCCCTGTGGGAGCACACTGACCACCAGGGGGCAGCTCCTGCATTGAGTGTCTGCCCCTTGGTGGTCAGTGTGCATCATAGCAACTGGTCGTTCTGCCATTCGGTCAATTTGCATATTAGCCTTTTATTATATAGGATACGATGGTACTTGTTAGAAATGGAAATTCCTGGACCCTACTCAGAAACTCTGGTGTCTGTCTTAATAAGCTCTTTCTGTGATTCTGATGCATGCCATTGGTCTATAGCATTGCGGAGGGGTGAATTCTGCTATATTTGGCTGTCATATACTACATTTATATTTACTTTTAATATTCCAAACTCAGATTACTTGTGTTTCTTGTGTTTAGCCTCAAGGTTTTGCATAACATGTGACTTCTTCTCCAATATGCAATAGAAAGCTGCTAAATCACTTGCCAAACTTTAATAATATTTATAGTTCTCCAAATTGTAGCTTGAAGAAAAACTAGATCAATAATTGTTAAATCCACAGTTGTAGATAGTAAAGTAACTTGGGTTAGCAGAATTTAATAATAATTTACTGTTTACTAAGTGCCAGGCATTATTTTAGCCACTTTACATGACTTCATGACACAGGTACTGTTATCCTTATTTTGTAGATGAGGTGCAAGGAGGTGAGTACTCTCTCAAGGTCATCCACCAGGGGATGGTGGCACTAGAATGGGAACAGAGATAGCCTTTCTCCAAAGCCTGTGCTATGCTGCCATCCTATAGTGTGTATGGCTTGGAAGCACCATAATAATAATAGCTATCTCTTATTGAGCCATTACTGTGTCAGGCACTGTACTAAGCTGCAATATCCCCATTATTTCATTTAAATCTCACAGTAAACCTATGGTTAGTTGTTAAATGCCACCCGCCCCCCTTTATACATGAAGAAATTGAGCCCTAATGGTAAAATAAATTGCCCATGTCAGAATGCTTGTAAGAAGTAAAGGACTTGAAGTTCTTATTAAAATAATTATTGGGCTTCTAACTTATAGGGAACTAATATAGCACAGTGGCTAAGGATACAAGTACTGCAATAGGAAAGCCTGGATTCAAATGCCAGCTCTGCCACTTGAGCTTTCCCTTGGGCAAATTAATCTCATCTTTCTCATTTGAAGTCAGATAATATATTTTTTTCCTATAAAGTTGGGAGGATTAAGTGAAATTACACACACACACACACACACACACACACAGGGGACCTAACTCACAACAAATGTTCAGAAATGATAACTCCTAGGTTGTAGTGTATAAATAAATACACCATTTTCTCTGTTTCTAGATTTTTAAAGACATTCTGTAGTGAATTGTTTTTCTCTGATTAGCAATTGGACCCAGCACTTTTAATTTCAGGGTATTTCACCTGAAAAGATGTTTGGAGGTTGGAAGAAAACGTTGAACGTGCTATTTGAAAATGTAACTAACATGCTCTCTAAAAATAATTTTATCGTATGTTCTCTGAATTTTCATACACTCTGGATACACTGCTTAATGATTGCAAGAACAGGTCTTTTTTTTATTTTTATACTCAAGAATACTTTCTAAAGAGAATACTTGAATGTTACCAATAAATGCATGGTATAAAGTTTATGGAAAGTTGTTATGTATCATTATGGAAACCAATAAACAAAATGAAATACAGCTATGTTTTTCTTGTCAGTTTTTTTGAGAAGTAATTTATATATAGGAAACTACATCATTTAAAGAGAACAATTCATTGGCTTTTGGTAGTTGTAAAAATACACGAAACTATCACAATTAGGACACATTTCTATCATCTCCAAAAGATTTCATCTCTGCAGTGTATCCCTCCCTTTGCTCCAGCCCTAGGCAACCACTGATTTACTTTTGGTCATCACAGATTTGTTTGCATTTTATATAAAGGGAATCATACACTATGTACTATTTTGTGTCTGTCTTCTTCCACTGTAATTGAAATTCACCCAAGTTGAGTGTATCAGTTTCTTTTTAAACTTCTGAGTAGCATTCCATTGTATGCTTATCCATTCACCTGTCAATGGTCATTTCCAGTTTTTTTTGCTCTTGTAAATATAGCTGCTACTCAGGTGGAGGCTTTGTACAGACATAAGTTTTTGTTTATCTTGGGTAAAGACCTTGGACATGAAATGGTATGGTATATGTTTAACTTTTAAAGAAACCGCCAAATGGTTTTCCAAAGTGTTGTGCCATTTTACCTTCCCAACAGCAGTGCATGAGAGTCCTGCTTGCTCCACATCCTTCTACATTTGGAGCTGGCAGTTTAAAAAATTTCACCCACCCCAGTGAGTGTGGGGGGTGTGACTGTGGTGTGCATCTCCCAGAGGTCTCCTGTTAAGCATCTTTCCATGTGTTTACTGATCACTCATATATCTGATGTGAAGCATGCTAAGTCCCTTGCCCATTAAAAAAAGTTTGGCAGTTTTTTCTTATTGAATTATGAATTATGTTTTCTGGATACAGAGTTCTTTGTCACATATCTTTGCCATGTTGTCACCATTTTAAAACGTGTTGTAATCAATAACATGAGGTATTTAAAAATCAGTTCCAGCTCTGGTTGTACCACAAAGCACTTGAAGAGTAAACTGCTCAACTGCCCAGCGTCCTGCGACCAAGGAGCCCATAACATACAATCTTATGTGCTCTTAAAGGCCAACAGAGGTAACACAGTGTAAAATAAGTAGTTAAATAAACAAAACAAGTCTCCTGAAGTATTTTTGCTGATGATAGTGTACCATCAGGGATCTTTTGGGTCATTCGTATTACTAGCAGGAACTTCGAAAGTATTTAAAAGTCATGCTGCTTAACAAACCATCCGTAGGATAATTATAATAATTATGTAAATGATATAATAATAAGCTGGTAGAGCGCTGGGTTTTTCTGTTTGGCCTTGAACCTGAGTCACACACCATGAAATTGCCGGGACCGAAAGGCGAGTGAGACTGCAGGTCCCAGGGACACCACAGCCGAATTTCCCCAAAGAAAGTCGCCTCCGTAGCGCATGCGCTTCAAGGCCGCTCTTCTCCCCGCGGTAGGCGGGGCCGCGTTGCCGCGGTAACTGCAGTAAACGGAGACCTTGGGCATCTGCCTTAGCGCATGCGCTTCAAGGCCGCTCCAGTAACCGCTTCCGTTGCCGCGGTAACTGCAGTAAACGGAGACCCTGGGCAGCTGCAGTGACTAAGCCAGTGCGGTCGGTGCCTCAGGTAAGTTTGGACCCCAACTGCTGGGCAGTTCCCACAACTCCCCCCACACCCTCAAATCTGTTAGCGAGTTAGGGAGCAGTGAACCCCACTTGGATTTCCCTCAGACTGAACCAATGTCCCCTAGACTTTCCCTCGTCCTCCCTCCGGATCAGTTTGACAAACTTTTGAAGTGACTGGCCTTGGCAGGCACGGAGCTAGACACTGGATACAAAGCGGACACCGTTCCTGCCTGTAGGGAGCTCATCTTCCTGCAGGGACAGCAGGAGTCCCAGGTAGACCCGGCTGAGAGGAAGCAGGGAGTCGGGTGGGCACGTGCCTGGGTTCCAGGTCAAGAAGCCGCCCCATCCACCCACACTTGGCTGTGGGACACTTGGCAAGGTGAGCCTCTGCCCTTCGGTTTTCTCATCTCTGAAAAGGAAGATGGTAATGCTAATTTTATGGGGTTCTTGTTACAGTTAAATTGGATAATGCAGGTAAAGTGTATAGCCTATGAGTCACACATAGTGCACAATTAATACTTTTTTCATTCTAATAGACACAGTGGTATAAAAGTAGTGTGTCCAGTCAGTTGTGATTTGTTCCAGGTGGCCATGGACTAAAACTTTTGAGATTAGGGTGGGGGAAGTGACAAGAGAGGAACTATAATCCTAAAAGGAAGGGTCTTCATGCCATGCCAGAGAGCCTGAGTCTTTATTCTATTGCAATGAGGAGCTAAAGGCTTTATATAAAGAGTGGTACATTAAAAGCTGTGCTTTAGAAATACAGGAGGCAGTGTAGATGCCGCTGTGGTAGGGTAGAGCTGAGACACGATGAGGACCAGAACTAGGGTGGAAATACATTCTAAAGGCTTAAGAACTGCACACTTCGCGACAGGACTTGCAAACCAATTGCATGCGCTGGGTGAGAGGGAAGGATTCAGAGAGTAACTGCTCTGCTTTTTCACCTTAAAATGCACCTGACTCAGAGTCATTTTGAGAAACAGATGAAACAGGATGCGTAGAATCCTTAGAACAATGCCCGATACATGGAAAACATTAAAAAAAAACAAAAACAAAACAAACGAGCTATTATCCTCTCCATGGTTGTATTATCCTTTGTAAACGCTGTTTTTATGCAACAATCTCTATGAGTCTTAGCTTGACCAGCTCCAGTACACTGCTGAGCTTGTGTTTGAGCTTGTGAGAATGCACTCTAGTGATTGAATACAAGCAATGTCACCTTGAGGAACCTTTTGTTTGGCTCCCAGATAACCTCCTTTTAGCAGCATGCCCCTCTGCATCACTGCACTATGATTCTCTTTTTCTTTACACTTCCTCAGGGTAGACTCAAAACTTGACATTCTACCTAAATGAGTTGGTTAGCAGAATTCGCCAAAGGCTGGACTAATGAGCCTGAATCTAATGAAAGTAGATTTAAGATAGTTTTGCAAATAGACTCCCAAACCCAGCTAGCTCAGTTGTATAAGACAGGATTGGCTAAGAACACAAATAAGGTTTAGTCATTCAAGTTGGTAACAAACTGACTATGATGAGTCTCTATATGAGGATGTGTTGGGAATTAACTTCCTGAGCCATCAAGATTCTGAAAAGAGTTAAAGCCACATTAGTGAGGAATAATTTAAAGAATTGGGATGCTGTAGTTGGGAAAAGAGAGGGTCTGGGGAGAAAAGTGAGCCAGTTACACTGATTTGAATGGCTATAACACACAGGAAAACTTGTTCTCCATCCCCAGAAGAATAAGGACCAATAGATTCAAGTTGCATTCTTAGCGCTATGTGTTTTAACCAACGTCATCTCTCTGAGAAAGGTTGTTTCCCCAGGTGGGGAGTTTTCCCTGGAGTTAGGGATTAACAGGACTAAGGAAGGGAATAAAACCCCTTAACTAAGTGCCAGGCGGGTAGTTAATCACTTTAACTATGAACAATCATGATTAAGCTACATAATCTTTACTTAGGATAATCTCCTTCAGTTACTTCCTTGTAGTTTAACAGAACAATAGAGTAGTGACCTTGGAATGAAGATAACAAACGCCCTAACCTTTGGAATAGAATGGATAGGATTAAAATCAACTGGTATAAATACAGATGTAATAGGAGAATAAATATAGAACCGGGCTGGAGAACCTGGCTATGCTGATCAACTGAACGCTGTCTCCGTGTCCTTCCTTCTTCGCTGACTCCATCCACACCTTTGGGAACCCCTGAACCTGTTGGGGCTGGACCCCAATAGAGAGCCAGACTTTCAACCCAGTCAGTCTGACTCTAGCTAATACTCTCAGCCTGACCAACACACCAGACTCCTTTTCCAATGGTGCCGGGCTCCGTGTTGTAGTTGTGTGACTTATATTGGGAGTGGATGGTGTAGTTTGAACTAGGTAAGATCTTTTTCAGCTCTGAAGTTTCCATGATTGTATTTATTGGGCCTAGCTGTAGTAGAGAGAATATGAAGTAATTATAGTAAAAATAACTACCAGTTCCAAATATCTACTAGGTGCCTTCTATAAACTCATGGCCCTTAACCCTGGTTATTATCCTTGGTTGCACAAAAGAATTACATAGGGAGCAAGACCCCGAGAATGGAATGGAGTAAAAAGTTTTTCAAGTGATTCTAAGGTGCAGCTAGAATTGAGAACTATAGGTATAAAGAAAATGAGATTTAAATCTCTGATAGGTACTAGACCTATCACTGCTGGCTTTAGGGGGCCATGAGCCAGGGAATGCAGGCAGACTGTGGAAGCTTAGACCAGTTCCTGGCCTACAGCCAGCAAGAAAGCAACCAAATGTGGAGATAATGAACGAGTATAATTTTAAGCTGCTAAATTTGTACAACAGCAATAGAACCCTAAGTATATTTATAGACTAAATTGTTATTGAAACTTGCAGACAAAATATTTTAATTTAGACCTTCACAATACATCATTAGTTCAGCTTGATTGGCCAGCCCACTGCCTATCTTTCCTCCTTACTTGGGGCCTGCATCATGGCAACTTAAAGAGTAGTTTAGTTTCTTGCCAACACAGTAATGTTAATTTTTATCAAGGAAATCTTTATCTGTTGTCCCCAGTTCAATCATGACTCTCTGACTGTCCTGCTCTGGTCAACCTTGTATGGGTCTGAATCAGTGATTTAGAAGAGAAGCTGATTCTGAGACTATATTTAAAGAGAAATGTCAATTTCTACTTCTTAGATTGTAACTATTTAAGGTCAGGGGCTGTTTATTGCTCATCTTTCCATGCCTAGCATGTTACCATCCTATCTAATAATAGACAAACATGGAAATTGACCATACCTTTGCTATACCTCTCATTGGCTAATCAGTGCGATATGCAAATTAACCCAACCAAGATGGCGGCCGGCAGCCACGCAGCTGAAGTGAGCAGGAGGCTTGCTTGCTCCAGTGATGGAGGAAGCCATGGTTCCCCCCCTGCCACGGCCCGGCTCTGAGCTCCGAAAGTAACAAAGTTTCAATTATAGAAGGTAAATAAATCCCAGATTAAAAAGAAAAAGGAAAAAAAGGAGAGGCTGGGAGCTTCAGTTGCAGGCTTGGCCCGCCTGAAAACAGCCCTCAGCCCATCATCCAGGCTGGCCAGGCCCCCAAGTGGGACCCCCATCCTGATCCGGGACTCCCTTCAGGGCAAACCAGCCAGCCCCCACCCGTGCACCAGGCCTCTATCCTATATAGTAAAAGGGTAATATGCAAACTGACCCTAACAGCAGAATGACTGGGAATGACTGGTCACTATGACACACACTGACCACCAGGGGGCAGATGCTCAATGCAGGAGCTGCCCTCTGGTGGTCAGTGCACTCCCACATGGGGGAGCTCTCCTCAGCCACAAGCCAGGCTGATGGTTGCCAGTACAGCGGTGGTGGTGGGAACCTCTCCTGCCTCCTCAGCAGCGCTAAGGATGTCTGACTGCAGCTTAGGTCTGCTCACCGCTGGCAAGTGGACATCCCCCGAGGGCTCCTGGGCTGCCAGAGGGATGTCTGATTGCCAGCTTAGGCCCAATCCCCTGGGGAGCAGGCCTAGGCCAGCAGGTGGTCATCCCCCAAAGGGTCCCAGACTGCGAGAGGGCACAGGCCGGGCTGAGGGAACCCCCACTTCGAGTGCACAAATTTTTGTACACCGGGCCTTTAGTCCAGGGGTCCTCAAACTTTTTAAACAGGGGGCCAGTTCACTGTCCCTCACACTGTTGGAGGGCCAGACTATAGTTTAAAAAAAAACTATGAACAAATTCCTGTGCACACTGCACATATCTTATTTTGAAGTAAAAAAACAAAATGGGAACAAATACAATATTTGTATTTGCATGTGGCCCGCGGGCCGTAGTTTGAGGACCCCTGCTCTAGTCTATAATAATACAAGCGTAATATGCTAATTAGACCGGATGTCCTTCCTTCCGGACAAAGCTGTGGTGGGTGGGGCCAAGGCAGAGGCAGCAGAGGCCTCCCCGGCTGTGGCGGTGGGCGGTGATTTGGGGCTGAGGCAGAGGCAGCCGTGGCAGTGGCGGGGACCAAGGCCTTTGCACGAATTATGTGCATTGGGCCTCTAGTTTGTATATAAATATGCTCAATTTTGGGAATTGAATTGATTTAAGTTATGAAGAACCTTGAAAGCAAAGAAGAAAACAGCATTTAGGTATGCTTGTAGTTATCTGAACAAATTTACCTAATAAGTACAAGATAATTTGTAACCAAGCTGCAATAACTGACATTGCTGTGCAATGCCAACTATTTTTTAAATTATCATTAATTATTTTTAAATCAGTGACTTATATAAACACAGAAAGCAAACCTGTGTATCTAAACTTGAAGAAACAAGAAATGTACTGGATGATAGAATTTGGAGTTTAAAAGATCTTGCTACTTAAAAATTTTCTGTCATTTGATTTTTATATACTTTGGGCATATATTCTGCAATCCAGTGAGAGAAAATAAGGAAGGAGAGAAAAACAACCAAAAAGAGAAAAGAAAAAACCTCTCTTTCTCTCTTTAAAGGGTAAAACATCATCTTGGTAACCCTGAAAAATGGCTCCAAGGTATTAAACACAAATTTAATAAAATGAGTATCAACTTGGACATATCTTTCTTGATAATAGTTTATAGTAAAAACATTTGGGAAATATGCTATTGTCCCCCAAATCAAGAGATAGCATCATTGTGATGTCACTGCAGGAAAACATCTGGAATGAACCCTAATGTCCAGATGAAGGGAGGTTGCAGCCATACTGCACGCCCCGCTGAACAGGCGGTACATATCACATCTGCTTTAGGCACACTAGTCTTTCTTTCATGACCAGGAAGGTATAATAATGCACGAGTTCAATTAAATTCTCATAGCAGCCTTCTAAGTTAGTTTTTTCTTCTTTCCCATTTTACAGTTGAGGAATTGATGAAAAGTTTAATTAGCTAGTTACATGGTAGAACTGGGATTCAAACCTGAATCTAACAATAAACACGATCCAAATAGAACTACCATTCTATTCTGCTCGCCAGCCATGCCCTAGAAGACTGTCGAGGAAACGGGTTGGATCGTGTGGAAAAGTGAAGGACTTAGAAGGGAGGTATAAAAGGTGTCTCCACACGAAGAGCTGCAATAGAGAGAAGACAGAGACAACAACCGGTTGTGTCACCCATCTTCTCAAAATCCTTCACTGGCTTTCAATTAACTTAGAAAGAAGTTCTCAGTTCCTTAGCAAAACTTAGGGACAGTCTCATGATCTGCCACTTGCCTCCTCTTCAATGTCCCTTTCACTGTCCCACTCTAGCCAATAGACTACTTTCTGCTTTTCACAGACACAGCCCTCTCTCTGAAGTTCCCTCTGCCTAATATATGCCTTTCCATTCTAAGCGTGGCCAACTCCTACTCATCACCTGTGCTGCAAACACCTCTTCCTTAATCCCTAGACCTGGTTTAATCTTCTTGCTATGTATGTCCACAACACCCCATTCTTTCCTTTTTGTAGCATTCATTATATTTCATTGTTTTTTTTAAAATAGCTATCTTTCTAAACAACAAGTTCCACAAAGTTAGGGGTCATTCTCCTTAATTCAGTACTACAATTTAGTGTCTAACATAAAGCTTGACACATGGTAGGTGCCCCTCAACAAATATTTTTTAACTGAAATTGATTAGTAACACCAGGGTAATTCAATGATGGGAAGAGGAAGAGGGAGATATGAACTAAAGGAAGATGGCAGAGGGTTCGTTTTAATGGTGGAACATTTCGGGACAAGATGAACTTGGGTGGTGTTTGCCTGCAGACCTTTGAAAACCAGAGGGTACCACGCTGAGAAGCTTGCCTGGAGAAAGGGAGTATCGGCCTCTATTTGCTGTTCTGCAGGGGTTTCTGAAGGTGATGTGCCCTCCTGCTGGTGAAGTCATCTAGGATGCTACACAGACAGATGATTGTCAGCAACACCCTTGGTGTTTGGTGCTTGTAGAATTTGTTAGGGCAGGAAACCTGCTAACGATTTCTATTTTACACCTTTATGCCTTTCCCTGTCTCAATGTTGCACTTACAGAGGAAATGAAGGAGCCCGATGATCAAGATACTGAGGTGGGGAGATCAGAGAGGTCAGAGAGGTCAGAGAGGTCAAAGAGCAGTGGAAGTCAGTCTCGGGGGTCCTCGCAAGCTTTATCAAGATGTAAGTAAAGGTTATACATTCACTTGGTGTTTGATTATTAAATGTAGCTAAAATAATTTTAAAGAGTATGTACTTAAATTTATGCAACAGAAATGGTTTCCTTGTTGAACTCCCTAAACTCTAATCCTTGAAGAGCAGAGCCTGCGTTTTAATCCTTTTATCTGCAACTCCTGGCATGTAGACAACTCTGTGCTGATAATGACCTGTCTGCACCTCCTATCTTGTTCCCACCTGTGAAGTTGTTGTATTGTACCCTGTGAATCACACAAGGACGCCTCAAGAAGTCGAATTAAGGAGCCACATTTATTTCAAAGCCAGAACTACAAGGGGCAATGCTCTCCAAATCTCGTAGTTCCCTTTTGGCCGAAACATCAGACTTATGTAGGCAAATATCACAAAGGTATTGATTACATCTCGAGGTTTGGAATGAGGAACCTGGTTTGCAAAAAGCAGTTTGTTACAGAAGCTTAGATTGAGCAACTTAGTTACAAAGATTAATTATAGTTTTGGGTCTTGGGACCACTGAGTCAACGGAAACACATTATCTGGAGCCACTGAGGCCATTTAGAGTAATTGTGCTGTCATGGTCTCCAGGTGCAGAGGAATGTGTTTTGAAAGACCAGTAAGATCACTATCAATGGGGGGTATTCAAACCACAATCAATGGAGTATTCAATCGAATGGGTTAACTTATATAAGTTCAGAAAATCAAAATAACTTTTATTACTTTAGCAAGCAAATAATTATAGAAGCCAAGTCAGCAGGGTTAAAATATTAAACAGCAAATTTTACCCAAGCATGGTTGCTACCATGCTTAAAAGTCCAAAGTTAATGGACTTTTCTAATACAGTGTAGGGCGATGAGAGCTGGACTTTAGTTTTAAGTCCTGGATCTACCACTTAGAGATGCTTGAGCCTGGGTAAATTTTAAAACCTCCATTTTCTCACCCATTAACATGATAATTGAGCTATTTCAGGATTAAATTGGGTAACATGTGGAAGGATATTATAGGCTCCATATAGAAGAGAGAGGAATTTTGTAATAGGATTTTTAAAAGATGGCTGGCTCTTTCTGACTATCTCCATGATGTTAGGTATCTTAGTAGAATCTTGACATTTTTTATTGTAATCCTAACTATAGTTTCAGAAATTATTTTTTACTATTAGAAGAGATATGTTCCTGGGGAAATCAACTCCTTTGCAAAATTTACATTAAATTATTTCAGTCTGAGATATATCTCATAGATTCACGATTTCTCCATACCATCTTTAATTTTAGATGTTTCTCTCCTCTTGCTTGGATTCTTACCACAAGGATTTCCACTGAAATCTTTCTGTTCAAGTCTCCCTCCATACCACCACTAGAGTTATCTTTCTAGATAATTAGATTATTTCATTCTCCTCAAAAATTTTAGTTTGCTTCTCTCTTGTTTTTTATTTTGCACTTTTCTCCACTCCCTACATTGCTGAGACAGGATCACCTGCGTTTTGGTTTCCAGTCCTCTGCAGCATTTTTCTGGATGGCTGGATTGAAGGACAATGAGCCTTTGTCTAGCCTTGCCTCGGCATCTCCCTTTTCTACGTGAGGCCCTCCGAGAGGCAGGCCTTATCAAGTGTGACCTGGCCCTGTACTCAGCTCATAAAACAGTTTACACATCCTGGGTTGTAGGATCCCAGATGATAATCTGAAAGAACTTGCTGGCACCCTGGAACCTTCTACCCTGGTGATGTTAGAAGAGGTCTCTGCCCTGATTCAGCTACATACCTTATAGCTGGTTCCTGCATCCCCGCCGGGGGGACCTTTCCTTGTTCTCAGTCTTGCTGAAATATCTCAGCAACTTCTTACCCTTTAGAATTCTCATGCAGAGTGAATTTCCTGGTTTTCCACCTAAGCATGGATTAAAGTGGACCCTTCCCCAGACTCAACAATGGGTTTGTGCTGTAACTGAGTCCTATTAAAAAATTTAAGTAAAATGTATCAGAAACCATTCAGCATTTCTTCTAAGGGTGAAGGACTGTTAGTTATTAAGACATTGATTTCTGATTCTTATTAAAGGACTATTTGCTGGCCTCATATAGTAAATTGGGAAGTATTTTGGTCTCTTCTATTTTTAGAAATATTTTTGTGCAGAATTCACATTATTCCTTCCTTAAATGTTTGGTAAACTTTACCAATGATGTATCTGGGCCTATACTTTTTTTTAGTGGGAAAATACTAAACTATGAATTCAATTTCTGTAAGGACTACCTATTTCTTTAGTAAGTTTTATAAGTTTGTATCTTTCATAGAATTTATACATTTCTTCTAAATTGTAAACTTTGTTGACATAATTCTTAGGATTTATTTTTTTTCCTAATATTGGAGATTTGTATTGCTTCTCTTTTATTTCTTGATTGGTCTAGCTAGGAGTTTATCTATTTTGTTGAGCTTTTCAAAGAATAAGATTTGGGCTTTGCTAATTTTCTTTATGGTTTGGCTTTTTATTTCATTGATTCTTATGCACATTTTTATTATTTCTATTATTTCCTTCATTCCATTCTTTTTTTTTTCTTTTCTTTTTTCTAGTTTCTTAGAGTAGAACTTTAGGTCACTAATTCTTGACTTTTTTTTTCTTTTTTTATATGTACTGAAAGCTATACACTTCCCTTTTAGCACTGCCCTAGCTGCATCCCACAAATTTTGATGTTATATTTTAATTACTATTTAGTTAGAAGTAGTTTTTAATTTTTTTGCTCATTTCTCCTTGGTCCATAAATTATTTTTAAGTATGCTATTTAATTTCCAAGTATTTGTAGTTTTTTGAGATAATTTATTATAATTTAAACTTCTGTTATAATCAGAGAATGCACATATTCTGTTATTTTAACCCTTTTAAATCTATTGAAACTTATGTCTCAGCAAGTGGTCTGTCTTGGTGAATAGCCCATGTACACTTGAATGTGTACCTTATATTGGTAGGTGTAGTATTTTAGAAATATCAGGTTAGCATGTTTCATAGTGTTGTTCAGATCATATATGTCTTTACTGAGTTGTTGACTAGTTTTCTGTCAATTGATAAAATACATGTATATAGCCCTGGTCAGTGTGGCTTTGTGGGTCAGAACATCATTCCATATACCAAAAGTGGTGGGTTCCATTCCTGGTCAGGGCACATACCCAGGTTGTGAATTCAATCCCCATTCAGAGCGTGTGCAGGAGGCAGTTGATCAATATGTCTCTCTCACATCTCTCTCTCTCTCTCCCTCTCTCTCTCTCTCTTCCTTCCTCTCTAAAATAAATATAGAAACAAAAAAGACATTATGTGTTATAATATTAACTAAGTAAACTGTGAAAAGTTGAGGATATATATATATAATAATTTCTGAAATAACTATATATTAATAAACAACTATATATTAATAACATATTGGCAAAAATGAATTGAATTAATAATAGCACACTAGCCAATCTTTTTAAAAACATCTTTTATTTCTTAAAAGTATGCTGTTATAGGAAATAGACTGCAAATGAAGTGAAAATGGAGGTTAACTCACAGGAAAGGCTTCTTTTTGTGTGTGTGTAAAGTTACAAGAATGACCAAATAAAATGATTTTTCTAGAAAGTTTTGAGTATTAAAATTTATTAACTTTCGAACACAAACAAATTGTAAGTAGTAGCCACTTTGAAAATAAGAAAATGTTTAAGTCAAAATTTAGAAATTATTAAAACAAATTATTTTTAATAGCCACTACAAGAGAAGATAAACTCCTCTTAGAAGATACAGACGAAATATTCACTGACGGCGAAGAATCATATTTAGAGGATGAGGAATCAGAAGAAGAAGATTGGGAAGGAAGTTCCAGTTCCTTTCAAGATTATTACAGGGAAACCAGTGGAGGTATTATTAGTTTTGTATCAGTAATTGCCACTGTTTTAAAGATAAATTGCCCAAATTGAACAGTCATACTAGTAAATCCATAGAAAAATCTGCAGGATGTGTGAGGGTGGTCAAAGGAAAAGCACGGAACAAATACAGTACGGTGGGTTAGTGGCTGCGTGGCTGTACTCTCCATTTCTGAGGCTCACAGAGAGAGCGCTCACGCCCTGTCTTCTGGAGAGTGGGGTGGTCCAAGCAGTGCTCCGCCCTAGATCCATGAGAGTAACTCTCCTTTGGAACTGATTGGGAGTTGCTCTTTGAGACCGCTGAGTCGCGAGGCAAGCTCAGCTTTCACCCAATGCACACAGGCATGTCGGTTCTTCCTCCCATGTTCTCTGGTGGGTGGCAGCCTATGTTCGGGCCAGTAGTGGTACTTACTGCTAGAGGATTGTGGGCTAGGTTTCATCAAGCACTCTTCTTAGTTATAATACTTTAATTTTTTTAGGATCTCGGTCTATGGAAACCCCTGGCTCAGCTGCAGAAGACACAGAGGAGGACGTTAGGAAGAAAATATCAGAGAGCTTCTTTTACGATTATATGGAAATGGTTTCCATGCCTTTTGTGTCTCCAGAGTCGGACATACCACTGGAACTTATCATACTTGTGTATCCACTCCAGTTACATATGCATACTTGGCATTTCAGCTTCTTAGGCCAGGGGTTGGCAAACTACAGCCCCATGGACCAAATCTGGCCTCCCATAAATAGTTTTATTGGAACACAGCCACATTCATTCATTTACATTTTGTCTATGGCTCCCATCACACTGTAAGGGTAGAACTAAATAGTTACAGGAGAGCCCATCTGGCCCACAAAGCCTAAAGTATTTACTACCTGGCCCTTTAAGGAAAAGTTTGCCAACCCCTATCTTAGGTACTTCTAAGAAGCTTGGCCCTTAGAAACTTAGAAATGCATGATCTTAATTTAAATTAAGCTTTTGTTTGATACCAAGTAACTGTAAAGAGAAATGATGCTTCACCAGCTTCGTTCCGTGAGACATGGCGTGTAGGGGAGCAGAAAGCCTCTCACCCCTTTCACCTCCTCAGCCGTTAAGTTACTGCCTGGGTCCCCTGTCTGCCCTGCTCGTGCCGCTGCTTCCACGTGCTGATGGCGTCAGCCCTGCTTGCACCCGCTGATGGCAGCGTGGAGTGATTGGGGCCATTGCCAGCAGCAGGTGGGAGTGGGGCCAGTGCCGTCAGCGGGTGCGAGCAGTGGCTGCTGCCCTGATCGCCCCTCAGGAGCAGAGGCAGGTGGAGAAGCCCTCAGAGGCGATCAGGACCGGCAGCCGCTGTTCACACCCACTGATGGTGCCTGGGCAATTGGGACCAGCGCTGGGCACCGGCAGCGGGTGCAAGTGGCAGCTCTGGCGCCGGTTGCAGGTGCGAGCAGTTCAGCACTGGCAGTGGTATGAGGACTGGCTCTGGAACTGGCAGCAGGTGCAAGCGGGGCCAGCACTGGCAGCAGGTGCGAGCGCCTGGTGGGTCCGCGGTGTGCGGGAGGAAAGAATTTTCAGTAACCACGAGAGGCTCACCCTGATGACAGCGACTGGCAGGGCGCCTTGGTCTGGCACCCCTGCTCACCTGCTCCATCCCGCCACAGCCAATGCCCACCATGTTCCACGCGTGCCCCCTGGTGGTCAGTGCATGTCAGAGTGACTGTTCGGTTATTCTGCTGTTTGGTCTATTTGCATTTTAGGGTTTTTTTTTTTTTATATATATAGAAGATGAATTTTCCAAGAAGACAACCCTGAAAAAGTGGGACACAAAAGAACAAGTTTCAATTGGTCTGGGGCATAAGAGACTGTGAAGAAATGTAAGGGTGGAGATGACTGACAAGGGGGTTTAGTGTTTACCATCACTTTATGGTGTTAGGTTTGCAAGGTGGATAGTTAGGAGATGGTTTCCTGGAAGGTCCTTGGCCTGCCTTTAAATGGGCAGTGGTTATGCCCACATGAATGGCCTAGACCAGGGATGGCGAACCTTTTGAGCTCGGCGTGTCAGCATTTTGAAAAACCCTAACTTAACTCTGGTGCCGTGTCACATATAGAATTTTTTTGATATTTGTAACCATAGTAAAACAAAGACTTATATTTTTGATATTTAGTTTATATATTTAAATGCCATTTGACAAAGAAAAATCAACCCAAAAGGTGAGTTTGCGTGTCACCTCTGACACGTGTGTCATGGGTTCGCCATCACTGGCCTAGACCACTGACTGGCCTCTCATGGAAGGTGTGCTGACAGAGGTAGGGTGGTGTACTGCCTGACTCAGGTTTGCTTTTTACATAGAGATACAACATGTTGTTATAGTTTCTAACTCTGTTTCTATCCGATGTAACTGAAATGAATTTCACCTTGAATCTCATAACCTAGAGTTCTCTCTCTTGAGTGCTTGTTGTTTGGGATTTTTGGTGTTTTGTGTGTGTGTGTGTGTGTGTGTGTGTGTGTGTTGTTGTTGTCGTTGCCTTTGGATAAGTTACTGACAAAAGTTATGCTCTCAGCTTTCTTCTAGCCTATGTTTGCAAATGGGATGGTACGGGAGAGTCACCGGGAACTTTTCCCGGTTATATTCTGTTAACTTTCTAGACCTATAATCACGTGCAGGGGGGTTTTGGCTTAAGCATTCTGACAAGCTTCCCATGAATTCCCTAAGATATTTAAAATATTATCCAAATCAGATTTGAGGATTTTTTTCACCTAATTTAAGAACAAAACTGCGTTAGTAATAAATAAAAAAAATTCTGAGTTTCAGAGTGAAATTCAACTATGTCAACCCTAAATCTTTAACCAAGAACATGGATTTTAAAAGTATATTTATTTCATGTTACTTTTCTTGTCTCTAGGATGGTTATATGGTGTCACTTCTTTTCCTTAGCAGTTTCTCTTCAGACATTCCTTTGGCTATGACTGCAAAAAGCGGGCCAACCTACAGTTGCTGGACAACAATACAATCATGTACATCGCCGGGAACCAGCTGATCATTCTGAATTTGAAAACCAAGGAACAGCTGTACCTGCGAAGTATTAGTGGTACAGGAATTGGTGTCATTGGGGTATGCCTTTAGTAACTTAGAAAAAAAAATCCATCTTCTTTGATTGATTGTTCTGTGGACCAGCCAGGGAGGTGCTGACACCACGTGCAGCATTGTGGGGTCACGTGAGATGCACAGCAGTCTTTATTCCAATGCATTCTCGATTCAGTGACTCCAACCACAGAGTCCACTGACAGTATCTCTGAGCAATATTGCAATGTTACATTTGTAATATTATCTTCCCACTTTTCAGATAAGGAGCCTGGGGCTTACGGAGGTTAAGTGACTTCCCATGATCACGCAGGTCTTTTCACATGGAACGCTCTGTTGCTGTTCTGCAAAAATAGTGGAATGAATAACACAAATGATAATTCCAATAACAAAGAGAGATAAACGCCAGATAAATGCAAGTGTCTACTTGACACCCTGATGATGAAGCATAGATACACATTCAGTACTTTCCAGATCTGCTGACAAGAGGATCTGTGTGTGATTGGGAGGGAGCCTGTCTCTTCTTTCTGCTCAGCTGTCTGTCCCGTCAGTCACCTTCTTTCTTGTAGCATCAGCTGCTGCTTCCTTAGGCTCCTCATTCTCAGCATCAAAGCATTCCAAAGGGACTAGTTCTCATTTTAAAGTTTTCTTTCCATGCAGTCTCTTTACTCTCTTTTGTTTTAATCTTTTCTTTGAAGCCAAGCTTCTGCTGTCTGCTCCGCCCTCACCTCATGGTAGCTGCCTTTACTGCGGTGAGCGCCAGCTCTCTGGTGGGCGAATCTGGAGAACACCTTTCGAACTAGCTCTTACGTGACCTCTTCATGGCAGTTGGCCCCTTGATGAAACCTGTCCCTTGGCTCTTTTCTACTCCGTGCTCCTTAGAAGCAGGTGTTCCTAGATCTGCTCTTCTCAGTAACACAGCTTGAGGGCGCTCCTTGGTGTCTTTGGCCTCTTGCGAGGGGCATCTGTTCAGATTATGCTGTCTGAGACAGGGGGTGGGGTGGAGGGGAGGAGCCGGGTTTGGGGCTCATACAGCAGTAGTTCTTTATGAGAGGGTTTCTAGAAAGACGGTGATCCAAATACAAGTCTGCCCTGCCCTTGCCCTGCCTGCCAGGGGTGAGTAGACCGGATGGAACTGGCAGGAGCAGGGCCCACTTCACAGCACCTGTGGAGGCAGAGGGCTTCCAGCAAGGAGGCCGAGACTGGGCCAGGCTAGCAAGGGGAGACCAGACCTAATAGGACATTGAGATTACAAGTGGGGGTGAGTGCAGAACTTTAGAAGATCCTTTTTTACAAAAAATTTTATTTTTAAATTACCATTGATGTGCAATATCATATTAATTTCAGGTGTTCGACCCTGTGATTAGACATTTATATACCTTACAAAGTGATCACCCTGATAAACCTAGTACCCATCTGACACCATGCATGGTTATTACAACATTATTGACGACATTCCCTGTGCTGTACTTCACATCCCTGTAACTATTCTGTAACTACCAATCTGCACTTGTCAATCCCTTCACCCTTTTCACCCACCCCTCTCCCATTGACAACTATTGTGAAGATTCTTGATCTGAGGAGTGAAGGTGGGAGTTGGCAGTGGGAATGGAGAAGGCGAGGAAAGCCTGAGGCCCACAGATAGAACTTAGGTTGGCCATGGAAACAGGATACAGTGAGATGGAAGCATGAAAGATAATCTTACATTTGTTTCTGACTTGATCATGTACCTATACATAGCATGTGTACAAGATAAAGTCCCTGTCCTCAGGGGATTTGTTATAAGACTAATTTGTAAATTCAGCAAAAATCTATATATATAAAAGCCTAAGCGACCATTAGGACCAAACAACCAGAATGACCGGTTGACCAGTAGCTATGACATGCATTGACCACCAGGGGGCAGAGGTCAATGCAAGTGCTCTGCCTCCTGGTGGTCAGTGTGCTCCCACAGCCAACCTCCCGTGGCCAGCCAACCTCCCGCGGCCCCTCCCCCCGCCTGGACAACCTCCTGTGACACCTCCCCCCTGCCGGCCCTCCTGCTGATAGGCATCGATCACGGGCCAGGCTGAGGGACCCCAACCATGCACAAATTCGTGCACAAAGCCTCTAGTTTATTATATAACATTCAGTGTCCAACACTACTCAGAACATGCAGGGATTTAAATGAAGAAGGGTTCATGACCTGTATGAATTCAAAGAATTTAAAATCCATCTAAAGAGACAAAATCATATTAGAAAGCAAATCTCCAACTATTAGATGTATACAAGTACATGATACTGTGGCACCAGCTGTGTGCAAATATTGATGGGCCCAGATGTGAGGGTCTTGGGTTCTGTGGAGGAAGTCAGTCAGAGGCCTGAATTCACACCATCTACAGAATACTGAGCAACATCTAACGATCCCTTATTCTAGTATTCCTATCACTTTATGGCCAACAATAGTTTTGAAATTTCTGTCTTTCTGTTTTGTTATGCAATAATGTGGTCGGAGGTCAGTAGTTAGAGGATAGTGTGGTCAAGAATGCTCTAATTGTAATCCTCACCTCCTGGACTCGAGCCGCTGTGTCCCAGGGGTGTTTTCCGAGTGTGCGGGACAGAACAGGGGCCTTGCCTCCACTGCCCATGTCAACTTCATTAAAAAAAGTTTTTATCTTTATTGTAGAAAGTATTACAGATGTCCCCCTTTTTCCCCATTGACCCCCTCCAGCTCACACCTGTGTCCATGAGTTATGCATACATGCATACACATTCTTTGGTTAATCTCTTTCCACCCACCCACCCATCCCCATCTTCCCCCTGAGATTCGACAGTCTGTTCCATGCTAATCTAGACCCATTTTGTTCATCAGCTTATTTTGTTCACTAGATCCCACATATGAGTGAGATCATGTGATACTTCTCTGGCTTATTTCACTTAGCATAATACTCTCCAGGTCCCCCTATGCTGTCTCAAAGGGTAAGAGATCCTTCTGTTTTTACTGCTGCATAGTATTCCATGGTGTAAAGGTACCGCTTGGGCTGTTTTCAGATCTTAGCTATTGTAAATTGCGCTGGTTTCGGGTTTCTTAGGATATATTCCTAGAAGTGAGATCACTGGGTCAAAAGGCAGTTCCATATGAGGAAACTCCATACTGTTATCCAGAGTGGCTGCACCAGTCTGTATTCCCACCAGCAGTGTACTAGGATTCCCTTTTCTCCACATCCTCCTCAGCACTTGTCATTTGTTGATTTCTTGATGGTAGCCATTCTGACAGGTGTAAGGTGATACCTCATTGACATTTTAATTTGCATCTCTCTGCTGATCTTTGAGGATATTTTCATATGCCTTTTGGCCATCTGTATATCCACTTTGGAGAAGTGTTTAGGTCCTTTGCCCATTTTTTAATTGGATTGTCTGTCTTCTTTCTGTTAAGTTGTAGGAGTTCCTTATATATTTTGGATATTAACCCTTTATCAGATGTATAACTGCCAAATATATTTTCCCATACAATGGGCCTTTTTTCGTTTTGTTGATGGTTTATTTTTTTATTTTTATTGATTTCAGAGAGGAAGGAAGAGGGAGAGAGAGAGAGAAACATCAATAATGAGAGAGAGTCATTGATTGGCTGCCTCCTGCACGCCTCCTACTGGGGAT